GAGTCGATCCTCGGACCTCTAGGTTCTGAGCCAGAACTCTAACCACAGCGCCACGGCTGCTCAAAATGCTTATAAAAAATGTTTTTGTATGCAAAGACCAATTTCTGAAAAATGATGATGTTAAATAATTTTTTGGCATGTGATACTCCAGCGCATGCTTTTATGAAATGTATTAAAAAAAGAAGTTGTTTTCAATCGGTTCAACTTTTTTCTTACTTATTGATACTTTTTTTTTTTTTCTAAATTATTTTTATTTTATTATTTAGGTACCTAAAAAAGACCTAACGGTTTTGTCACAGAGCACTGCGCAATTGCATTTAACTAGGAAGTTCACGCCTCTTTCCTTAGTTCGTTTATATGTCCATAGTTCGTTTCAAACTTGTATCTCCAGCTTATAAAGCAAGCGCTCTAACCACTGCGCCACGGCCGCTAAATTTGTTTAGTATATTTACTTAATGATTTCTATAAATAATACTTGCAAACACACAGTTTGCTAATATGAATTATAAAGATCATGAAGTATCGAAAAGTCTTTTGATTGATTACCTTTGCATTTCTAACTTTGTTTTGGGCTATATGCACTTTGTTATGGGGTTGTAAGTTAATTACTTCTATTTTGAAAAAGTGAGTAAAGATGTTTCAATTTTCATTTGTTTAAATTAATCATATTTTTGAAAAGTCAAATGACTTATCCGGTAAAAAGCCAGATTTTGATTAGTTGTAGAGTTTAAAAGTTGAAAGACTACATAGTTTATTTCTTTTGAACACTGGTCCTCATATAAAGATACAAACTAAATTAACAGCATCAATAGCTTGGTCGTAGATTGATGCTATTGAATTGGTTTGAATGGCTAGATTATTGAGATTGTGAATTGTTATGGTACACCATTCACAACATAAAATATACATAACCTAATTTATTTGTTATAAAAAATTGCATGACCGGTTCTTGATATGTCTTCCTTTTCACAGGGCCAACACGTCAGGGTTCGGGGAGCACATCGTCAATTTTTTAAAAGGTCTTATATATCTAAAATTTTCTAAGAAAAAAAAATCTATATAAATATATATATATATATATATATATATATATATATATATATATATATATATATATATATATATATATATATATATATATATATATATATATATATATTTGTATTCATTTTATATATTAGATGAAACATTTTGTTTTTTAACATTTTATAGATAAAACAAGTTAATACTGATGGAAAGATTTGTTCCAGTTGTCAACTGTTTAAGTGAAATAAGTAGTTCTGATTAGAAGAAAAAACAACCAACATAGTTTTAACCGTTGCTAAGAAAAGCTATTTATTAAAATGACTTTTAATTCTTAACTTTGTGAAAATTTCCATTTCGAATTCTTTATTGTACCATGTAAATCAAATTATTTCATAACATTATCTTTGTCAAAATAACCCTTGTAAATAGAAAAACTTTACCGAAATCTGAACTCAAACAAAAAGATATTTATTTACTGGGTAAAAAAAAAATGTTTTTATTTTCGATTATGTAACGATTGTGTGTGTTTGAACAAATTTTGTTTATTTGTTTAATTAAAAATATTTGGGGGGAAGGGGTGGCAGTTACAATAGTTTTGCAGTATATTTAAAAACTGTTTTTTCTATTTTAGAAGATCTTGTTTAATAATATGCATCAAATAGCAACTCTAGTTTTTGGTATCTTGGAAACAAGTTAATGATTATTTAGCTTAAAGGAAGGTAGATATAAAATCTTAAAAGTTAATAAAATAAGTTAAAAAATGGGCTCGTAATTATTTACTGGATAGTAAACATTTCATTGAATTTTCTAATGAGTCCTTTGCTTTTTATGCCCTGCGAATGACTGAGATCATGCATCCTAATTAAAGTAGTTCATTTAATTCAACTTTTGGGTCCAACCAATAAACGTATCAATATTTTACTTTAAGTTAATAGCGAATCTTCTTCTGAAAATTATATAGAAAATGCAGCCAGAAGATATTTATCTAGAGAAGAACTCACTACAAAGAAAGCAAAACTCCTTAACTCCAAACTCTACAAAAAATTACCGGAAAAAGTTAGCACAAGTAAAATCGAAACATAATAGCATGCCATACAAGTTAAAAGTATTTAGGCAAAACATCAAAAGAAAGGAAGAAATTATAAATACGTTGAGGACAGAAGTTCGAGAGCTAAAAAAACAAATTACAACATATCATTACAATAGATTATTTCACAATCTTTAGTCGAAATCAAAGTCGTTAATGTTCAATCTAGATCTGTCGTTTATGATAGTTGAGTTGATAAAGTAAACAAGAGACAACAAGATATAATTTTCACTTTATCCTATTGGAAACAAAATGAAACTGAAATTAAAGTCTTCAAATATAAAATGAAATATATTCAGCTAGCTGCTGATGTTGTATTAAGGCGTTAATATATTCTTAAATTAAATATAAAAATCATGTAACAACGCTTGAAAAATAAGTGCATCGAATTTTTTGGGTTGCAAATATGATACATCTAATTTTGTAAATTGCAAATATGGTACATCAAGTTGGTGATTTGCGAAAATGTGCCCCAAGTTTTGTGGCTTGCAAACAGGTACTGCAAGTTTTGTGACTTGCAAAATAAGTACCTCAAGTTTTGTGGCTTGCAAATATGGTACAATGAGGTTAGTGACTTGCAAAATAATTATTGCAAGTTTTGTAACTTACAAATATAGTGCAGCATATTTTTTCGCTTTCAAAATGAGGACTGCAAGTTTTGAAGCTTGCAAAATTTAAATTTGCTACAACAAGTTTTGAAGCTTGCAAATCTGCTACAACAAGTTGTGTAGCTTGCAAAAAAAGTACAGCAAGTTTTGTAGATTGCAAATTTTTTTGACAGATGGCTCGGGCTAATCTTTACGTGGTTTTTATTGTTAAAGTTGATATAAGTTTATTCATTAATTGAATTTTAAAAATTAAATTATAAACTAAAAAGCTTATTATTATTATTTTTTTAAATTAGAATGGGTAACCTGTCCTTTTACATGACAAAATGTATACTCAGACGCGTCTTGTAATATGGTAAAATAGTTTTTTTTATATCATATTCTTTTTTAAAAAAAAACATTTTAACATTAAAAAAGTTTTTTCAGTTTTTTGGGGCGGAGGGGGCGGTATACGCCTCTCCCATAAAGGCAATTTATTAACCACTAGTTACTATTTTTTAGAGTATTGAAACATAATTTTTATTTTTAATAAAAGATTTAATCATCTAAGAAAAGATTGAAATATTTAAGAATGAAAACCTGATAGGGTTCGTTAAACCTTACCCACAACCTACCACCCATTTTTTCAATAGTGATGTAGAATAAAATAAAAACAACTTGTTAAACATAAATATTACTAATTTCATAATAAAAAAATACTCTTTTATGAAAAAAACTGTAATTTTGTGAGGTGTAGGTGGCGAAATTGCAACTCTTTGGGTTCCTTTGATGTGCCCTTTACCAAGAAACTAGTTCAAAATTACAGCCCATCTTTTGATATCAAGTTATAGATATTTGAATAAGAATTGGCAAAGTTATAACAATTTATGTGAAAAAATTTTTTTTGACCTACGAATGTAATACTGGCTTGTTTTTACAACAATTTATCATTTAAGATAAGGTCAAGCAACTTAAAGGTTATTTTTTTTTTTTTTTTAATGGAATAATATGTAGTTTGATTTCTCTGAGTTAGGCGAAATACATAAACCAATTATTTACTTTAGTTCAGTATTCATGTCTGAATATAATTTCTTGATATCATTGTTAGTAAAAAATATGTTTTGATTGTATAATAAAGATAGTTTATCATTTCCACCATATTTAACCCATATCACAAACGAATTGTAAATAGGACTGGAACCTTTTATAATTTACAACCTTCATTAGTTTTTTAAGCAAAAAATCATAAGCTAATACACAGTAGGCAAAATGACGTCCATGAGACGTCATGAAAACGTCCGTTTCGGATCAGAAGACGTCTCAAATGGACTTCGGAAACATCCAGGAAATAATTGTAAACTTAGTACCAGGTGGTTGTCTTTGGTTGGTGAAAATAGTAATAAAAAAAACTAATCTCTAAGAAAAAGACTTAATTGTCAAATTTATGTATTCAAATATTAGTGTGATGCCGTTTATATGGCCACCAGTGAATAGGCAATGCTAAATTCTAGATCCACAACATTTGCAGAATCGAAGTACTGTCAACAAAAACAGGACTTTGCTACTGTTTAATCACGGAAGACTTGAAAAAATTTTTTTTGTAACAAAACTAATATTTTTATATTTAAAGTAATTTTAAGTTTGCTGAGTTTTTATGTCTTTTCTATACTTTTTTTTAAATCTATTGTTTTGTGTACATTTTATAAAAAATAAGAATATAAAACATACGTAAAATCACAAAAATTAGGTCTTTTTTTAAAATGTATATGGTCTTAATTCGTGTTCTAGTTCAAGTAGGGTCTTGAAAAGCCGACTTTGCTAGTCTTTTATTGGTTTGCAGATTAAAACTATATAAATTTTTAGGACGCAATTTGAAAAAATTATATTTTATACAATAATATATTTTTCAATAAAAAAAAAAACAAAAAGATTTTTTTAAATAAATTTTACATTATCGCACATCACATAAATTTAAATAATTTCAATAAAATATCAACAAATAAAGAAAACATTATAAAAACTGTGTTTAAGTATATACAGAGAAGTGTTATAGTAATTACTTGTGTTATCAATATACTAATAAATAGAGATTAGCAAGATTTATAGGCCTAATGAAAACTAAATAAATTTTCATTATTCCTATGACTCAGATATTACCTAACTAAGCGTGTGCTAATGGACTGCATAAAAAACTTTTGAATTCCCTGATTTACATATATGCGCATATATATATATATATATATATATATATATATATATATATATATATATATATAATATATATATATATTATAATTACATTCAATAATAAATGTTGTAATAATCCACCAAATAATCTAATTTTGAATTGCATAAATTAGCATTAATCTAATTTTGTATATTGCAAAAAAAAAAAAAAAAATACCAAAAAAAAAAAAAAAAATGAAAATATAACTAAGTACGAAAAACAAATAAGGAGTAAAAAGTTAAAAACAACAAAAAAAATAACTACTAGTATTTAAACAACAATAACAGTGAAGGACTTCACTGTCATTGTTGTTTTGATACTAGTATTATTATATTTCACTTGATTAAAGTAGCTTAACCATCACATGTCTTTTTTGCATTTATATAGGTTTCACTCTTATCCATAACGGTTCAACAGTTTTAGTAGAAATGAAAATTTTCTTTATATAATTCATATGCTCAAGGTCAACAGAAAATTCGAATTGCAACAACGCTTTGACCAAGAATGTTTTAATTTCAAGCAAAGCAAAATTCTTTCCAATACAATTAAAAATACCTTGCCCAAATGTGAGGTAGGAATATGGTTGTATTTCACCTATATTCAAAATTAAATGTTGTAATAAAGAAACTTTGGTCTTTTTTTAAAATAACTTTTACAGAAAATTAAACACATATAAACGTATATTGTATCCAGCATTCATAAAATAAATTATAAACGCTAGAAACCCAGAGGGTGCAGAAACTCAAAAAAAAACTTTAACTTGAAAAAATTTATTCATATTTTGACAAAATAATATTTTGTTTACTTTGAATCTTTTTTAAATTTTCTCATGTCATTTTTAATTTTTTTTTGTGCAAAATTCAAGTTAAATATGTTTATTAATTGAATTTCTCTTTTAATAGTATGTGTGTGTGTGGTAATATGTGCTTTATAGCTGTTTTATCAATGTGTTTTTATAATAATGCAACATGTTTTTTTATTGTTTACGTATGTGTCATTATGTGTTATATAATTATTTTATAAATGTGTTTAAATAAGTTTATATTAGGTTAAATATATATATTGTGTTTATAGATGGTACATATGTTTATATTATGTTAATTCCATGTTTTCAAAGTGCTGTGACTTGGTAAACGTGTAGAGGAAGATATGTCAACTTTGCCAATCAAGTCATGTACTTACTGCAGATAATTACACGGTAGCATTTAGTGTTAACCTGTTACTGCTTTAGGTCTAAGTTTTATCAAGCCTTTATTATTAATTATTCTGAAAATGCATAATAATGTGTTTTAATAACATTTTGCGTAATTTTGTTACTCATGTTCTGTTATATATGAATGTTATGTTTATGTTATATGCATATTAGATTAAATTATGGTGTGTGCTATTGTTGTTGTGATGCTGTTTTTTTGTAATCTTTTGAGTTGATAGACATTTGGTTTACCTTCACGTTGGTGTCTATTGTTAAAAATGATAAATTGGTAATTTCATCATTAGATCTCACTGATTTTAATCATTCACTAAAAGGCTACTACTCTGGTAAATCACAACAGCTTTTCTGTATCAGGTAAAATGATTTCCGTTTTTTGTATGTAATGTTTTTCTCATTTATTTACTTATTTGTTACATTTTTTATTTTAGATTTATCAAACAATGTATTTATGTGGTATAGAAGAAAATATTGTAAAGTTTTATTAATTTTTTAAAAACGTTTACTAATAATTCGTTAAAAGAAATAATATTGAAGTTTGCTAAAAAGGGTTTACAACGTTTTTTTTTTAAAAATTTTTCTGTATTAGCAGTAGGCTTATTATTAGAATTAGAATTATTTTCTAATTTATTTATTTAGTCAATTTTTTAAAATCTAAATAAAAAAATTTAGAAGTTAATTTTAATATCTTCTAGCTGATATGTTTTTGTTTTTTTAAAGTCATTAGAAAATTGTTTAATTTATTTTAAATCTGGCAATTATCTTAAGATGACAGTTTCTTATATTTAAAAATTATTTGTGTGTGCTATTTAGAGTAGAAAAAAAAATTATATAGAAAAGATCACAATCTTCAAGATTCTTTTAAAATTTTTTGTTACTATTTTTAATTAAAAGTGAAATTTAAATGGATGATATTAGGTTAGAAGCAGACATTAGTTTAGAAAATGAAAATGTTAATAGACAAATTAATTATCGCAGAAATGAAACAGATAGGCTTATGCGAGATAAAATTAACAATTGACAAAATGCTACATATGTTGCTCGGCAAGCAGAAAATAATTTGAACCCAAATGATTAGAGCGCGGTTAGGCAAGTTGAAAATAATTGTCACAGAAATGAAAGAAATATGCTTAGGCCAGATGAAATTAATAATCAACAAAATGCAAGATATGATCAAGAGATTTGGCCGACATATTGTCAACTATACATCTATGCAGCAGTAAATTTTATAATGCAACAACGTGGTAATGATCTTTGCTTAAATTATTTAATGTTTCGATTGCAAAATATTGTCAGTGAAGAGAACCCATTTGGTATTGCATTTAAAAACATGGCTGAAGTAGAAGATGAAGAAATTCGTCAAGCAGCTATAGAAGGTCGCTCAGTGTCAGTTGTAAAAATGTCTTTACTTAAAGGGCAAGATAGACGTAGCTATAATCTCCTTTCACATAATGAAGTTGCAGTTGTAATTGTTGGTAAAGATGGAGCTCCACCTGCTTCCAGGGAAGTAGTTATTTACCCAAGAGGTCATCCTCTTAAAACCATATCAAGTATGTCTGCCAACTTAGATCCTATGGTTTATCCTCTATTTTTTCCAAGGGATAATGCTGGTTGGCATAATCAATTGATTCACAACCCTGAACAAGCTTTATTGGTTAGAAATCATCTTACATTATCTCAGTATTACAATTATAAACTTTAAGTTATACAATTTTTTTCTTCACTCTTTTATGGCAGAAAACTGTTTCAGCAATATGCTGTTGATGCATATTTTAAATTACAGGCCAGCGCCTTGCTTTCATCAGAAATAATCAAAACAAACTAAGAAGCGAACAGTATGATGTCTTACACGAACTTGTAAACAACCTTGGAAATGATCATGTTAGACCAGGGTGTGTTGTAGATTTGCTATCAACTTAAATAGGAAGTCCTAGAGCTTTAAAAGAAAACTTTGAAGATGCTATGGCTATAATTAAAGAGTATGGTAAACCAGATTTTTTTATTACTTTCACTTGCAGCCCAAATGGCGCCAGATACCTGAAAATTTATATCAAGGTAAGACAGCAAGGTATAGACCTTACTTGGTTACTCAAGTATCAAACTAAAATTAAATAAACTTCTCAATGACATTTTTAAGCACGGTGTGTTGGGGAAAGTTGTAACACATGTTTAGATTGTTGAATTTCAAAAGCGTGGTTTGCCACATGTTCATATTTTACTTCACTTTGCAAATAATAATAAGCTCGAAACAGTACAGGATATCAATAATTTTATATCTGCAGAAATTCCAGATCAGATTGTTAATTCTGATCTTTATGACGTTGTTAAAACTTGCATGATTCATGGTCCATGTGGCATACTGAATCCAAATTCTCCCTGCATGAAAGATGGGGTGTGCAGCAAAAATTATTCTAAAGAATTTAATGCTAACACAGTAGAAGTTCATAATGATTATCCACGCTATAGACTAAAAAAATATCAAGCTCACATTAATGTTGAAGCTTACATGTCTGTTAAGGCTGTGAAATATTTGTACAAATACATAACAAGGGTCGCGACTGTGTCAATATTTTAATTAATAAACAAATTAATCATGATGAATTAAACACTGTATTAGGTTGTCCTTATGTTAGTTCACCTGAATCATTGTGGCGAATTTTCAAGTATCCAATAAGTCATATGTCACACACTATTATACGCCTTAAAATTCATCTACCTGAAAATCAATTAGTGTATTTTAGAGAAGGAGCAAAACAAATGGCTTTCGACCGTGCAGCACAATGTGATACGCACCTAACAGTATGGTTTTGGTTAAATACTAAAAATGAAAGAGCACATTGCTATTCATATGTAGACATTCCCTATCACTTTACATTTGATGATAAACAATGGAAGGTTAGAAAAGGGTGGTAATAAGGTGAGAGTAAGAATGTATAGAGTTAATCCAACTGGAGAATTACTTTTTCTACAACTGTTACTTTTGCAGGCAAAAAGAGCAACGTCTTGAGAAGATGTGCGTACTGTAAATAGCATTGTTCTTGAAACATTTCGTGAAGCATGTGTTTTGAAAGGTTTGTTGCAAGACAACACTGAGTGGCAGAATACTCTTTCTGAGGCAGTTTTAATGCATATGCCAGAACAAATTAGACAGTTGTTTTCAATAACTTTGACCTTTTTTAAACCTGACAATCCTTTACATCACTGGAATACATACAAAGCTTTTATGATGTAAAATTTCATTCACCGCTCAGTCCCACTTCTAATAGCTGAACAAGCTACTCAATATTTAGCTATTACTAATTACTAAATTGCCAAGACATATATTTAGCTATATAAATATCTTAATTTGATTTTTTATCTTTAATGTTTATAGTTTGGCTCCTTGAAGCATTTTATATATTTTTTTAATTTAAATATTTCAAATCTATTGTGATATCTTCTAAATTACACTAAAGTTTACTAAAAGCCAACATGAAATAACGTCATTAAAGAACACCAACAAGACCTGCTGCATCATGGCAGCAACTGAAGTATGACAACAGGTTCCCAAAAGCAGGTAAATTGTTTTTCAATTTTTTTTTGTTTTTTTTTGTTTTTTTTTTTTTTGTTTAAATATCTGTTACAATTTTTATTTTAGGTTTGTCATATGACGAATTAATGCAATATAAAAGATTAAAGTTAAAATAATTTTTTAAATTTGTTTTACACATGTTTGATTGTAAACTATTATTATTTTTTTGTTTGAAACCTATTTGTACTCAATTGCTTAGTTAGTTATAATAAACTTAGTTGTTTTTAATAAATTCATTTAGTTGTGTGCATTGAACTTCTGCATTGAACTCCTGTATAAATTAAGTTAACTTCATAATAATCTTAATAATAAATTAAAGTTCATGTTATAAAATATATTACAAGAATTTAGTTGATATTTTCGTCAATTTAAAGAGTGATGAAGTGTTATTATTTTGTATCAATAACTAAAAACTTATTGCGTTGAACTTAGGAATGTCGATGAAAATGATTTTGCCTTATACTGATATGACCTATGTCTGTTGTAAATTACTCAAATAATGTTAAATAATAATTGTAATATATATATATATATATATATATATATATATATATATATATATATATATATATATATATATATATATATATAAATATATATATAAATAGAGTTATTCTTTTTTAGAACGCAGAACCCCCAAAAAAAAAAAAGCAAGAAGTCGGAAATCCACATCCATTAACTACTGTTAAATACCAGAAAAGAGATTGCCGTGATAATTGATTTATTTAAAAAGAAGATAATTTTAGTGCTATAATTATTAGATATGTAAATTTAAAAACTATGATGCATGTTCTGCTGAAAAGTCTTAAAACC